TGTGATTAGCTAGTGATCGATTAATTGAGTAGTGAACGAAGTTAAAAATTCATCGGATTTAAATTTTAGCCAATCAGAGCAGCTCTATGAAAAAAAATTAGTGACCTATTGATAATCACGGTCAATTTTTTGGCCAATCAGATCGTTTGGCTTGAATAAACTTTATTTGTTTCAATAATGCTAGCTAAGTTTCATAGTGTTGGCATCAGTGTTGGCCGATGACGTGTAATATTTTTTTTCTATGGCCTTGGTCATATAATCATATGACTTTTTGGTCATAGTCATGTTGGTCATATTAAATGCTAATAGAAAAAAGTTTTACTATGATTCTTACTATATTAAAGAAGGCCATAAGTCATATCAACCTTCGCTATGACCGAATGACCTATGGTAGGTCATAATGGTTATATAGGTCATTTAAGGTCATAGGCCAACACTGGATACTATGTATACGTGTGAAATTTATATATATTACTGAAACTTATGCAAAATTGAAATGTAAGAATATTTTCAAATAAGCGATGCATCGATTTTATTTCATTTTCAGATAAATTGGTAGTAGGGAGTTTCAGAATAGTATTTCTTGCTGCAAATACTGATTGCAACTTTAATATGGCGCAACTAGGATTGCAACTTATCGTCAAATTTTATATTTAAAAAATCAAGTGTTGCAAATTATAAAAATGTCATAATATCGCAAAAATCACAATAATAAATGTCGTCATCGACTTTGAGATCTTGCATCTTTTTGCAGCAAAATGAGTGGTTTGCGAAGGTTGCAACCAAATCTGGCAAGACAGTATAGTATATAATTATATACAGTATACGGTATTCAAGCTCAGCTAAATTAATATTATATTAATATACATAATTTCCCTTCTCTACAAGATGTTTACGAATTTTGATTAATATTTCTAGCACTTTACTTCCTTCTGGTTCTGCAATATTCAAGCCGGCTATTGGGATGTTTTCTTCTGGCCACCTTAAAATTTCAACTGATTGTTCTTGTGGCAGACCTTCCTCGCTAAGTTCTTCAAAATATGATGAAGGAATCACAGTTTTGTAGAACGTAACATATGTTGAGATGATGCGAGCAGCATATATAGTCTGTTCCATGGCCTGGTCCGTAGTCTTGTTAATTTGACGCAAATTATCAGAAGCACAAGTGAGCATCTCATCAGCAAGTTGACATTCCCCATAACCTAGCCATTTTTCAACATTTTCGATATGTTTATCCTGTCAGAGATCTGTTAAGTTAATAAATAAATATGGTCCTGCCAGAAATAAAATATACTAACCTCCACAGCAATCATGGCCATGTTTATCATCTTAATCGAAAATTCGGGATCTGCTGTTAAATAAGGATGTCCTCCAATGAACAATCTGCATTCTTGGTGATTTCTGAGTTTTAGGAATGCAACTTTAGGACAAGAGATTCTACATTCATAGAAAATT